TTTATCATTGCCCCCACCCACTCAGTCTAGATAATCTATATAATCTATCAGACATGTCCAGAGACCTGTCTCTTTGGTGATCTTAGATTCTATCAAGTTAACTGTATTAATGATGATGCCATCAGTAAGTGAATTAAAGAGCTCTTCCCTCTGTGTCTCTCTCCCTCTCTCTGTCTCTCTCTCTCTCTGGTTTTTGAGATGGGGTTTCTCTGTGTGTAGCTCTGGCTGTCCTGGAATTCACTCTGTAGACAAGATCTCTTCTCTTTGCTTACAATGCACTGGCAATAAACAGACCATAAACATGGCACTAAGCACATGAAATAATACAGTGTTCGATGGTGGTGAGTACTGTGGGGAAAAAGAGAAAAGATAGTAAGGGAAGGGGAAATTAAGGGTGAGTAATATTTTAATTAAGGTGATCAGTGCAAGCCTCACTGAGAAGACAAAATCCGAGCAAAGGCAGAAGGTGAAAAATAAAGCCTGTAGACACCTGGGAGAACATTCCTGACAGCCATTGAAGAACTAGCTCCAAAACAGCAGTGCTCAGGCTGCTCCAGGGACAGCAAGATGTCCTGAGCCAGAGGAGGGGAATAAGAGGAAGAGGTGGACCAGACAAGGTTGTTGCAAGATACTAAAAGGCAGGGCCCGGGAGATGACTCAGCAGTTAAGAGTGCTCACTGCTCTTCCACAGGACCCAAGTTCAGGTCCTAGCACCCACATCAGGTGGCCCACAACCACCTGTAATTCCAGTACTTGGGGATCCAATGACTTCTGACTTTATCAGGCCCCAGGCATACACATGATGCACATAAACTCATGAAACACACACACACACACACACACACACAAAGTCTTTAAAAAACAAAGATACCAAAAGGCAAGCTAGACTACGTGAGGTCTGATAGGCCATCGTAGGCACTGTTTCAAAGCCTACATACACGCATTATTTGTTCAAGTATTTACAGTTACACCAGTTGGAGAGTGGTATACTATTTTCTCCCTGGCTCCCCTTCCCCTTGCTTTTTTTTATAAAGTGCCTCAGGTTCTATATTTATAGTTTCGTCTCCCTATATATAGGTATATATACGGACATATAAATAAGAATGTATGCAATATATAATATAGCTGCTTCATTTTATTTTTTACTGTGGGGCCTAGGCTTGCCTAGAACTCGATCCATAGCCCACTGTTTCATTCTTTGGACAACCATACAGTATTCTGTGCATATATTTCATTTAATGAGTCCCTTGTTACTGGACATTTTCAGCCAAAAAGAATGCTCTGAAAATCATATACATGCATTTAACATGTGCAAGTCTCTAGTTCCCAGAGGTGGCATGTGTAATTATTTTTGAGACAGGGTTCATTATGTAGTTCTGGATGGCCTAGAACTTACTACATAGATCAGACTGGCTTCCAACTCACAGAGGTCCACCTGCCTCTGTTTCCCAAGTACTGGAATGAAAGGCTTACAGAACCATGCTCAATCTAAGGATAATTTTTTAATTTTAATTTTTAAAACTTTATTATCTAGGAGATGAAAAATAGCTACTTTGTCAGCCAAACATGGTGGCACACACCTGTAATTAGAGCACTCAAGAAGATGAGGCAGGAGGGTTGCCACAAGTTCAATACCAGTTTGGGTTATATAATGAATCTGAGGTCAGTCTGGACTGCAAAGCCAGAACTTGTCTAAAACAAAGACAAACAAAAAATGCCAAACAAACAAACAAACTACACATGAAATTTCTTCCTTGTGGGCTGGTAAGATGGCTGAGCAAGTTAAGGCATTTGCTGTCAAGTCTGACGACGTAAGTTGAATCCCCAAGACCTACATGAGTGGAAGGGGAGAACCGGCTTCCACAAATTGTTCTCTGGCCTCCATGAGCACAGTGCACACACACACACATGCACGCACGCACGCACTCCTTTGTGTATGCACACATGCAGGTATGTTGTGGGTGTATGTTTAGACCGGAGGTCAATTTTAGGTGTAACTGTTTAGGAGTCCTCCACTTTATTTTTTTGGACAGGGTCTCTCCTTGGCCTGCAGCTCAGCCAGTAAGCCAGGCTCAGGGCCAGTGACCCACCTACCTCTTCCCCACCCCCATGCCTAGCTTTTTAGACAAGAACTGGGGATCAAACTTCGGTCTTCATGCTTACATGGAGACACTTTACCAACTGAGCCATCCCCCAGCCCTGAAACTTCACATTTCATGTGTTTAAAAGCTTTCCATTTCTGTAAAATATCAGTATCTTTCTCCTTACCTCTTTTTTTTTTTTTTTTTTTTTTTTTTTTTTTTTTTTTTTGGCAGTGTCTCACAATGTTGCCCTGGCTTGCCGAGAACTCACTATGTAGACCAGGCTAGCCTCAGACTTAGAGAGATCAGCCTGCCTCTGCCTCATGAGTACTGGAATCAAAGGTGCGTACTATCACACCCCGCTTCCTACCTTTTTTGAGGATGTCATAATGAAACCTTTATTGTACTTACTTTTTATTTCTTACATTTTCAAGATTATAATATAATTACAACATTTCCCCCTTCCCTTTCCTCCTGCCACACCCTCCCATATACCCCTCCTCGCTTTCTTTCAAACTCATAGCATCTTTTATCACTAATTATTACATGCATATATGCATATGCATATACATATATATTCCTAAATATAACTTGCTTAGTCTACATTACGTTATTTGTTTTTTGATTGTTTTGTTGTTTATTTTTGAGACAGGGTCTCCCTATTATACAGCTCTGGCTGTCCCAGAACTGGCTGTGTAAACCAGGCTGACCTCAAATTCACAGAGAACCACCTGCCTCTGCCTCCCAAGTGTTGGGACTAAACACCACACCTGAGGAACATTATTTATGAGTATGTTTTCAGGGCTGACAATTTGGTATTAGATAATCAATTGGTGTGCTCCTCCCTGGAGAAGACTGTTTCTCCCACTCTCAGCATTCCTGGGTTGCCTGTAGATCTGAGGCCTTGTGGGCTCCCCCTGACCCCCCACCCCGTTCACTTTAACATGTCTGTCTATTAATGTTGTCCTTGTTCAGCTCATGTTTAGGGAGTCATGTTGGTAAGACTTTATGGGTATAGTTTCTGAGGATACTAGAAGACAACCTCACAGAAAACTCTCTGAGTCTTTGTAAGATTGTAAGAGCAATATTTTCATCCCCTCTTCCAAAATGTTCCCTGAGCCTTAGGTTGGGGCGTGTTTTTGTAAATGTAGCCATTTGGGACACATCTCTACATTTTAACTGGTTGTGACTTTCTATATTACTCTCTGTTTGTTTGAAAGAGAAGTTTCCTTGATGAGAGGTGAGGACACTTGTCTGGGCACAAGGACAAATGTTTAGACTGTGGTCAGGGATGATGCTGGATTAGTCAAGTAGTGGTTGTAGGTTCTCTTCCAAGATCCTTGACCTCCCTAGTCCTGAGTAGCCAGCTGACTACGTTCCCAGCACCAGGCACTGTTCCCCTCTTGTTCAGTGGTCTGAAGTGGAACTAGAGAGCGGTTGGTTACCACTGAGGTACACAAATCACCACCGCACCTTCGGGGTTATCCTGCTGTGCTGGTTGCTGAGGTGGCACACCGTGTCATAGGACTGCTGGTTGCTGATGTGGCGCACCGTGTCATAGGACTGCTGGTTGCTTCCCTCCTTCCTTCCATGGAACCTTGCGTGGATCCTCCTGGTATGACATGAAAGCTGGTCCTCAGGAAGGAGGCATTCAGGTCATTTCCAGCTCGGTGGCCTCTGGGCCCTGTTTCTGAAGAGTATGGTGTCTTCAGCAACAACAGGGACTCACCTTCCACCTCTGGGGGCCAACCAAGGTCGATAGCATTAGGCTGTATTTTTATTCTTTCTTCTTTGGGGGTGGGTGGGGTTGAGACAGGGTTTCTGTGTAGCCCTGGCTATTCTGAAACTAGCTCTGTAGACCAGGCTGGCTTCAAACTCAGAGATCCACCTGCTTCTGCCTCCCAAGTGCTGGGATTAAAGGCGTGTGCCACCACCACCCAGGTTTATTTTTAACTGCTTTAACAGCAAGGATTCAGACAAGATGCTCTGGCCAACAGCTCCCTCACCAATGAGCTGAGGGTAATGCCTGCCTCCTTGCTCCAAAGCCAGTAGATTTTTGTATCCAAGCAGTTTGTGGAAAATTCCCTTCTAGTAATAAAAGCCCTCCATTCCAGCACCTCTTCAAGTGTACCTGAGGCTTACATAGCACGCATCTTGGGTTATGGTCTTTTTGTTTATTCCCACATGCTTTTCTACACTTTGGATTTTTTTTTTTTTCCCGTTTTAGGTTTTGATGCTGTCCCTTGGCAGTCCTGGAACACGGTGCTTAAGGCAGGATCCCACCTTGTGCACATTGCTTTGCTGATTAGTTGTATAATTGCTTCCTAACAGCCAGATGCATGGGGGTTGGGAGTGGGACTCAGACCCATGTAGTCTAGGCTCAAATTCACTATGTATCCAAGAATGACCTTGAACTTCAGCTCTTGTCTCTTCCTCCTGAATGCAGGGATAACAGCCGAGCCTCAACCATGCTAGGTTTATTCTGTGCTGGGGGTGGAACCCAGCTTTGTGCATGCTAGACAAGCACTCTATCAACTGAACTACATCCTCGGGTCCCAGGACCTGTAACATTACTGACCATCTCCCGAATGACAATAGGAGCCTCAAAGAAGAGATCAAGCCGCCAAACCAGGCTCTGGAGCCAATTGCCTGGGTTCAAGTTCAACTCTTTAACAGAGCCCTCTGTAAACTTCTCTCCTTACTTGTGAAACGGGACACCACCTAACTTCACAGGTCTGCCATGACTAAAGGGATCTGGCTTTCATTGCTTAAGATAACGATGGAGTAAGTGGTGGGTTCGAGTTTTAATCCCAGCCTTGTGTCCTTCTCCCCACCCCATACCCCGCCCCACCATCCCCACGTGCTCCACGTGCCTCGCGTAAATAAGCGAGCGCGCAGGCGCCAGGAATCGGTGCCCATTGGCCGCCCCGGCGCTGTCCAGGGCCGTGGGGAGACACTCTGTGGCCTCTGACCGCGGGCTCCGCCCCGGGTCGGTTGATCCTCGCGTCTGTGGGTCGCTAAGTCCGGGCCAGCGGCTTCGCCCTCGTCATGGCGCCGCTGCTGCAGCTGCTGTGGCTGCTGGCGCTGCTCCGGGCCGTGGCCCTGGTCCCGGTCCCCGCCAAGCCCCGGGCCGACGACGAGCAGGCCTGGGATCTGTCGCCCCCGGAGCTGCTGGCGCCCGCCCGCTTCGCGCTGGACATGTACAATTACGGCCGTGCTGCGGGGATGAGAGCCGTGCTGGGGGCCGTACGCGGGCGCGTCCGCCGGGTGAGGACGCGTGGGGAGCGGGCGCGGGGCCTGGGCCCAGGAATCATGCAAGGTGGAGTTTGACTGAAATTTTGGCTGTTGTCCTGGACGGTGGAGGAAAGGGCAGGTGCAGGCTAAGACTGGATAGGGAAGCACAGGTGGACTACAGGCTCCTAAGAGGAGCAGAGTGGGGGGATGGCTGTGCCAGCCTCACCTCCTTCTCCATCCAGGTGGGTCGGGGCTCTCTGTTCTCCCTGGAAGCCACAATGGAGGAGCCACCTTGCAATGATCCGCTGGTGTGCCTGCTCCCCGTGACCAAGAAAACCATGGTGAGTGATGTGGTTCCAGCTATTGTTGGCCCTAGGCCGGCAAGCAATTGGAATGATGGGTCCTGTGAGGAAGCAGAGGTTACCCCACTCTGAGTTACTGGTTAGAGATCAAGATGCTCTGAAAGGGTGGGTATTTGGGTGCTGGTGTCTGCTGCTGGCCAGGGCCTCCTTCCACCAAGCCGTGATTGCCTTCTATGTGGCCCTGCTTTGAGGAGCGTCTAGCTGCTCTTGCCAGGAGCTTGTTCCAGCCTGTCCCCAGACTGTTCCTTCTCTCCCACCAGCTCTGCAGCTTCGAAGTCCTGGATGAGCTAGGAAAACACATGCTGCTGAGGAGGGACTGTGGCCCAGTGAATACGAAGGCTACAGGTGCTGGGATAGCTCAAGGAGACTGGGATAGCCCAGACCATACTTGACTCAGAATTCAGCCTTGATTGCTTCTCTGTTCCAACCCTATCCAGAGTATGGAAATGAGACGTTCAGCTCATTCCTTCCGATGCTGAACAAGGATCCCCTCCCCCAGGTGAGGAGCCTGTATCTGGGAGAGCCAAATGCCCCCTTATTTCTCTTCCCTTTACCCTCAATTCGTGTTCCCGGGGTCAGGCTGAACGCCTTGTAAACAAACACCCTTTTGCCTTCCCAGGACTTTTCTGTAAAGATGGCCACAGTCTTCGAGGACTTCATGAATACCTATAACCGCACTTACGAATCAAAGGAAGGTAGGACCCAGCCTTGTCTGTACCTGTCCCAGTCAGACTTGGGCCTTCTCCTGTCATGGCACTTTGATATTGAGGAAGGAAAGGACACAAGGACCTTGTGTCTCTCAAGGACCCCCAATCCCTGAGTTCTTATCCAGCTTTCTAGGCAGCCATCAAGGAAGAGTGGACTGTCCCCTCCTTCCATCTTATCTTCCTGGCCAGAAACCATGGGCTTCCGTCCCTCCAGGCAGGGTCGGGTAAGGCGGAGACCAGATTTTCTCTGTTGGATTTCCTTTGTCATCGTGGCCTTTCCCATAACCTCTTCTGGGTGACACCCTTCGGTCTCATTTTGGTCAGTGCTCCGGTTTAGGCTCCCACAGTGGACCACACCTCCCACCTTGTCACTTTGTGGTCTGCTTCTCCATCTCGTATTCTACCTGCCCCAGGGATCTGTCCTTACAAACAGTTTCAGGGACTAAGGCAGTGACTCGGTTAATAAAGCCCTTGCCTTGAAAGTGTGAAGACATGAGTTCAATTCCCAGATCCCACCAAAGAAGCCCAACAAGGTGGCCTGGGCGGCAGTGAATGGGAGGCAGAAATGGACTCATGACCGACCAGCTAGCCTAGCCTACTTGATTAAGTTCTAAGCCAGTAAGAGACCATTTGTGAAACAAAAGTGGAAGACCCTGAGGAGTGATACCAGAAGTTGTCCTTCGACCTACACACACATGCTCACCACACTCACTCTAACACACTCAGAAGTTTCAGGCTCAACCCAGAGTCTCTCTCTCACCTGGGGAAAACGTGGCTTGCTGACCCCATTTCTGTTCTTTTGTGATCTGGTTGGTTTCAAGCCTCCCTCCTTCTCTTTGGTCCTCAGAAGCCCAGTGGCGCTTGACTGTCTTTACCAGAAACATGGTACGAGCACAGAAGATTCAGGCCCTGGACCGTGGCACAGCTCAGTATGGGATCACCAAGTTCAGTGACCTCACAGGTGGGGATGGTGAGCAGAGCCCTCGCAGAACTTGGAAGAGACTGGGCCCTGCTCTGGAAGCTCCTCGTTTGGGCTAGCATAAAATATTTACCCCCTCTCTGCCCTGCCCACCTCTCCCTACAGAGGAGGAATTCTACACCATCTACTTGAATCCCCTTTTACAAAAGGAGCCTGGCAGGAAGATGAGTCTAGCCAAGCCCATAGATGATCTCGCCCCGCCCGAATGGGACTGGAGGAAGAAAGGGGCGGTCACTGAAGTGAAGGACCAGGTTGGAGTCCCGGAAGTGGGGATGAGAAGGCAAAGTGCATGGGGCCCTGGAGAAAGGGAGACCCTTGACCATGTCCGTTGTCTTGCAGGGCATGTGTGGCTCCTGCTGGGCCTTCTCTGTCACAGGCAATGTGGAGGGCCAGTGGTTCCTGAACCAGGGGACTCTGCTCTCCCTGTCAGAGCAGGGTGAGCATCCTGCTCCAGCCCCCTGACATTAAGGCCAGCCTCTCCAGAGGGCCCCTTGGAACCAGCCTTCTGTCTCCTAGAGCTCTTGGATTGTGACAAGACGGACAAGGCCTGCTTGGGTGGATTGCCCTCCAATGCCTACACAGCCATAAAGAATTTGGGTATGCATTATTTTGGGCAGGCGGGGCAGCAGGTGCCGCCTCTTTGCAAGAGGGAGAGATGGGCGTGGGAGTCACACAGAATTGGGCCCTGGTCCTTAAGTTGACCCTTTTTGGCCGAAGGTCTACAACAAGTCAGTTTTGCCAGAGCCTTAGTTATCTCAACTGTGGAATGGGATATACAGTGTCCACTTTGTATGATTGTCTCCAGTGTCAAGTGAGAAAATAGATGTCAGGATTCTGTTGCATGCAAGGACCCAGTGGATCTTGATGTTTTCACTTCCTGGAAGTCTGTGTTCTTACTATGTTAAACTGGACAGTAACACATCTCTCTGCCGAGGAGAGGCATCAGTTCAGCCATGGGCTGCAGTAGTAGAGGACAGTGAGCTAAGGAACTGAGGTAGCTTACAAAGAAACTGGTCCAGGAGCCCAGCAAGGGTCTGAGCTACGTTAGCAGTAGACTGTCAGCGCAGGACAAGCAGCAAAGGACAAGGTGCCAGGAAGCCTGGGATGAGGCCTCAGCAAGGAGGCAGAGATGGGAGCGGAGTCCTGTCCATGCTGGCTAATGTAGCTCCTTCCTCATCCTTTCATCCCGAGCTATGTCATCTCTAGTCTGAGGAGAGTCATAGAGGCCTGGGGCCCTGGGAGTATGTAAGGAACATGTGGCTTCATGTCTGTGGGATGCTTGGCACTCTTCTGTCTGGGAGAACATGAATGAGTGATAAGCAGGAGTCTCCTAATTTTCCAGGAGGGCTGGAGACAGAGGATGACTACAGCTACCAGGGCCATGTTCAGGCCTGCAGCTTCTCGGCACAGAGAGCAAAAGTCTACATCAATGATTCAGTGGAGCTGAGCAAGAATGAGAACAGTGAGTGGGGGCCGGGGTGGCTCCAGGTTGATGCTGCTGGGCCAAAGTAACCACTGACGCTGCCTTCCCCTCTCAGAGATGGCAGCTTGGCTGGCCCGGAAAGGACCGATCTCAGTCGCCATCAATGCCTTTGGCATGCAGGTGAGGCCCTGGTCTCTGAGCTCCTGCCCGTCTCTTGTCTCTGCCTCCCACACTCGCCCTTTCAGGCTGGCATTCTACCCCCCCGTTTTCTTGTCAGTTCTATCGCCATGGGATTGCCCACCCTCTCCGGCCCCTCTGCAGCCCCTGGCTCATCGACCACGCTGTGTTGCTGGTGGGCTATGGCAACCGTGAGTTCCACCGGTCTCCTGCTTATCCTTCCATCCACCCCAGGCCATAGTCAGGGGGTAGATAGCAGCTTCTTAGGCCTTCTGAGGGGGAACCTCGGGGTAATGCCTGGGAACCTGGATCCCAGCCTCAGAGAAACACCCATGCCTTTTGTAGACAGGAAAGCTGGGGCTGTGGGAGGTTATTCTAGAGGCAACTGGACAAGTGCTCTCTCCAAGTCTTACAGATGCACGGGGTCTCTATGAGGACGGTAGGGAGCCCTCTTGGCTCTTTGCTGTTTATTAGTTCCTATTGCACTGTGGGCCCCACTGCAGATACATGAAGGGTGCAGTGCACGGGTCTCTGAGTGGAGAATTGGGGCCTCTGACTCCTTGTATTCTGTGCTGCTCCCCAGGCTCCAACACTCCTTATTGGGCCATCAAGAACAGCTGGGGCAGTAACTGGGGTGAGGAGGTGAGTTTTGCCTGGTTGGCCCCTGACCCTCCAGCCTCACTCTACCTAAGCACCCTCACCAAGTCCCACTGTCCCTCAGGGTTACTACTACTTGTACCGTGGCTCTGGAGCCTGTGGTGTGAACACCATGGCCAGCTCAGCAGTGGTGAACTGAGGGACTTGCTGGCACAGGACCTGATGCTGACCACAGTGGCCCCTTCCTTAGCCTGACTCATCCCCCAGGCCCCTCCTCAGGAGGCACAGCTGGCTGAGGGACAGGCACTTGGTACCTCAGGGTGAGCAGTGGGCCCTGGGCCCCTTCTTTCCTCCCTCTCTCCCTCTCATGTCCACCTGAAGTTTCTTAGCTGCATCTTTATTGAATTGTGGTAGCTAGGAGGATCCTGAGGTGAAGGAGGCTTTCATGGAAGCCAGCGCTGGGGCAAGGACCCCAAGCTCGGGTAAGGTGCAGAATGAAACCGTTCTCATCGTAAACCCAGCGTTGTCTTCAGCAGGCCCTGGCTTCCTGCCTTCGTTTCCTCTGTCTCATACTGTCAATTTTCTGGTTCCCTCCCACATCTAGGAAACTTGTAACCAGCCTTCTCTAAGAGCAATAAAGAGGTCTCCTGATCTCCAGTGTGGTGTAAGTGCTTAGTGTCCCAGGGATCCCTAGTGGGTCAAGTGGGGTCAGGAACCAAGAGGAGATGGGAGAGGCCCACGGCCTGGTCTTTATTCAGAACACAGTGCTGGATGATCTTGAGGCCCTTGCTCTGAGGGACAGTGGAATCCGCCACAGGAAATGCCCTCTTTCCTTCTCTGCTAAGAATGTCAGAGGTCACTCTCTCCATAGAGGGCACTGGAGAAAGCCACATAGTCCAGGGCCCCGGGCGGAGCCCCAGATCCTTTGTAGGGCGCCATCCGACGGATGCAGTACTCAGCCTGCTCAGCTGGGAGCTCTCGCCGCAGCTCTTCTGGGGTAATGTAGTTCTAGAAAAGAGGAGACATTGGTCCACAGGTCTTGAGTCATGCCCTAGCCTGCCAGCCCCTCCTCCACACGATGCTCACCTTGTCTCCTGCCAGGATTTTGAAGGAGGCTACAACTTGTTCAGCCGTGTCTGTCTCCGCAGTCTCTCGGGTCATGAAGTCAATGAAGGCTTGGAAGGTCACAACCCCGGCTGCATTAGGGTCCACCATAGTCATGATGCGAGCAAACTCCACTTCGCCCTGCAGAGATAGAGAGCAGGCACTGTGTCCATAAGTGCTAAAGCCAAGAGGGCTCATGTCCCCTCCTGGGGATTTTCCATACTGGGCTTGTATCACCCCCGTGACAGCATACTCTCTTCTTCCCCAGACATTAATCAGCTTGGCTTTAGGGAGTCACATAGAACCAGTGGATTTTCCTTTGTGTTTTAGATAGCCTCTGTGTGGGTGTGATGAACAGAGATGTTCTGTGTGAAGAGGGAGCCAGGCAGAGGGAGGGGAACTGATGGTACTTGTAGAAGTGGTTAGGGATCTCACCAGGTCATAACCCATGGAGATGAGGCAAGCTCGGAAGTCATCAGGCTCCATCATCCCATTCCGCTTCTGTAGAGGGCAAAAGGGTATCAGGCTTGCTCTCCAAATCCCACCAGCTCCCCTCGCAGCCTACAGGACGTGGGCGCTGCTGACCCGGTCAAAGTGGTTGAAGGATGCCCGGAACTCGTTGAGCTGCTCCTGGCTCAGGCCCTTGGCATCTCGGGTCAGTACCTGGTTCTCTACCTCATTGATGGTGCGGGCAATGGAGGTGAGCAGCTGCTCCCAGCCCACACGAATGTGCTAGAGAGCAAGAGACAAGGCAGTCAGTGGGTGGCCAGCTCTTTGTCCTTAGTCCAGTTTTACTCTTTTTTTTTTTTTTTTTTTTTTTTTTTTTTTTTGATGTGTGTGCTTATTTGGAGTCAAGGTCTTTTCTATGTAGCCCTGGCTGTCCTGGAACTCTCTATGTAGATCAGGTTGACCTCAAACCTACAGATCCACCTGCCTCTGCCTCCCAAGTGCTAGGATTAAAGACATGCACCACCACGCCTGGCTATCTAGTTAGTTATATTCTTAATCTGTTATATAGCATTGGGCAAGCCCTCCCCCTTATTGGGCCTCTGTTCCCATCTCAAAGTTCCCCTAAGTGACTCTAAGCAGCCCTTTCAATCTTAAAGTTTGATGGCTTATTGTGTATTAAGTTTTGATCAACCAGCCGTGGACAATTCTGGGGTCTAGCTTTAGGACCAGACTGACCTTGAACTTGCTATATGGCTGAGAATAGCTTTGAACTCCTGATCCTCATGCCTCCCCTCTCAAGTGGTGGCATTATAGATTTGCATCACACCTAGCCTGGACAAGTCACTTTCCATTGCTGGATAGCTGGAGAGCCATATTACCATGGGGCATTGGAAAAGCTTGCCAGGCTGAATTGGTGACCCTCCTGGGACAGACGTGCTCTATCCAGCTGTGATCACCTCAGGCTTTTCCCTTCCCTTCCTCCCAGGGGTGAGCCCCTCACCTCCATGCTGTAGACCGTGTGCTTGTTGTCAAAGACCAGGCTCTCCTGCAGCAGCTGGTGGTCGCCCTCCAGCCGGTCGATGTTGTTCTTGTAATTGATGATGTTCTGCTCCTGCTGCCGTAGACCAGCCATCTGCTCCTCCAGAGAGCCGGCCAACCCAGCCGCCAGCCGCCCTACCTCCTGCAGGGGCACCCAGGCAGAACAAGGGCTCTCAACTCCCTGTGGGCCAGCCCTCAGTCCCGTCCCCCGCATTGGCCCCGCTCTCCAAGGCCTCACCTCCACCTTTCCCTGGATCCAGGGTCCTATGGCATTGGCCTGGGCTGCAAACTGTCGCCGGAGCCGCTCGTTCACCTGCTGCCGTGCCAGTTCCTCCTGCAGGGTCTGGTCACGGCTGGGCACCAGCTTTCGGACCTGGGAAGGAGAGCGGTTGTACCATGGCCAAGTCTGGGGGCCAGGAGATGGTCCTGAGGCGAGGTGGCCCTTCAGGCCCTCAGACCTCAGCTCTTGTCCTCATGAAGCCGATGACTTCATGTTTATAGGCTCCAGGTTCCTCCTCTGTAAAATGGGCCCAGTGACGTAACTAGTGTAGGTGGGCTTGTGGATGGTATGCACACAATCCTGATAGGGTTGGAGGCTTACCCAAGGCCATGAGTAACCTGTGGCAGACCCCAGATCTGGGCAGCGGTGAGCGTTATTCCCCATACCTTGGGACACCAGAGGTTTCATTGGTTCGGACGTGGAAGAGCAAGTGGGGACCGTGTGGGTCGCCAGTGGCACTGACCGTGTCCCACTTAGTGTTGATGTCCTGCGAGCTGAGGTTGATGTAGGGGTTGGTGGACTTGGGCCGCAGCCCGTACGTTTGGCAGATCTTCTGGATCTCTCCTTGGATACCCAGGATGGCCCCTCGCTCTCGATCAGCCTCTGGCAGTGTTGCCTTGAATTGTTCATGCGCTGTGAGCAGGCTCTGGGGAAAAACGGGAAGGACCAGACAGCACACCCACTTACCAGCAAGCAACAGAGGAGGCAGAACAGGGAACCAGGCCATCTAGTGGTTGGTGCAGGCCTGGTTTAAGAACCTAGGCCTCTTGCCTGCCAGCCTACCACTCCATAACTGGGGTTTTTTCCTGCTTCCTATTCCTGTTACCCAGGACCAGTTTACCTCTCATTACATCCAGTGCCTCCCAAATGTCTCCCGGAATGCCTGCACTCACCTGAGTCTCTTCCACAGAGTGCACTAGCCACGCATCCTGCAGGTCCTCAATAGCCCCATCCAGCCAGTTGTTGAAGGGTGCTGCCCGCCGAGCAAACTCCAGCTGCAGCTGGTCAATGGTTTCCAGGAGCTTCTCCATCCTCTAGGGGTCAGGGGGACCATGGATCAGACCTTTGCAGCTTGCCGGCCTCATGGCCTTGCCCTTGGTTCCCTGGCCCACCTGCCCACCTCTAGCGCATCTCTCCTCTTCTGGGTCAGTGTACCCAAGTTATCCCACTGGTCACAGATGGCTTGGCAGCGGCTATTCACTGAGGCTGCCTCATGGTAGTCCAGCTCACTGATGGAGTAAAAGGGGAATGAGTGTAGAGGCAGACCCTGGCCTAGCTTGAACCCTGGTGGAACCCAAGGCAGGGTGAGGGTGCAGGAGTGACTGTTAGGCGGCCAAAGCAGGTGTGGAGCAGAGAGGAGCTTTTCTTCCAGGGGTCTCAGTGTCTGGAGGTGCCCTGATGTGGAGCCTGGGTTTCAGAAGCAGAGTTGTGGGAGAAGGAGAACTGGAGGAGGTGGTGGGTGAGGTCAAGGCTGATGGCGTGGTGGGCTAATATTCTGAGGTGAAGGGGGTCTCCATGTCGTGGGGGACAGATTTCCCCGTGCGGTGGGACTGATGAATGCCAGTGATAAATGCAGGGGTTGGAAACAGTGTAATGGTGTGAAAAGAAGCAGGGTACCACTGCTTGGTTACCAACGGTGTGACTGAGTAGTAGGGCGGGGCTCAACGAGGAGGGGCGGGGCTGAGTCTCTGGTCACGCCTACTTGAGTTCTTGGGCCAGTGCGGCTATGTGCTCCACCCGGTCTTGGTGCGCAGCCAGGTCGCTCTCAAAGGCCTCGTGGCGCCGCAACAGCGCACGGACCTCCTGCAGCGAAGCTGAGTCGTAGTCGTGCTGGTTCAGCATCTCCTCTTTTCCTGCTCGGAAAGAGACCAGGGTCCTATCACCCTAGAGGCCGCCACGGCTGGAGTGTGAGGTTTCCCAACATACCCTGAGATGCCAGCCGCAACTTTAGCATTGTTTGCCAATGAAGTCAGTGTCCTCTGACCCAGCATTGTCCAGGATGACCTTTGCTACAATTTTGGAATTGCTTGATAATCAAACCCCACCCCTCCAGCCCACCCCGGTCCCTCTGTTTTATTCTAAGACAAAGTCTCTATGTAGTCCTGGTATGTTGACCAGGCTGGCCTCAGACTCAGAGATCTACCACCTCTGCCTCTCAAGTGCTGGGATTAAAGGCATGCACCACCGCGCCCAGCCTTGGAACTACTTGTCAATGCTCCTGAGAATTCCTCCGTCCTTTGACCTGGCTTCATTTGCTCATCTGCTTTCCCAGCACCTGGCACAGTGCCTGATACTTGGTGGATGGCAGAGCCTCCGTGAATAATTACTGCATGAATGAATAATAAATGTAAAAGTGTCTTTGGTGAAAGTGTTTTATAGGTAATAATTACTATAATTTTACAAATAAAGACCACCACCATCATCACAGTAGTGGTAGGGACTCTTTCATTTGAGGGCCCCTGCATTTGCAGGTAATGGGTATAAAGGTTCAGAGATTGCTTCAGGGTCACCTAAACTGTAAATTTCAAGAACTTGTTGTTTTTGAGACAGGATTTTCCTATGGTTTTTCAAGACAGGGCAGATTGGTTTTTAAGGAGCTATTCTAGTTAATATTTATTTTTATGTGTATGAGTGTTTTATCTACACATATATATGTACAGCATGTACATGCCTGGTGCACAAGGAGGCCAAAGGAGTGTGTTGGATGCCCTGGAATTGGAGTTACACATGGCTGTGAACCACAGTGTGGGTACTGAGAATTGAATCCAGGTCCTCTGTAAGAGCA